TGCACGTTGGATACTGTTTAAGTGGACCCTGCGACAGTCTTGGGCAGATGTGGGAACGAACAATTCCAGCACCTCTGCTTGGTAGCCAAGTGACCTTGGGACCTGCACTTCACTTTGCTAAGCCCTTGTTTTCTCAAAAGCCAAGATGAAAATGTGTCCAAAGAGCTACTACACCAAAGCTGGGTGGATCTTAAATTTCCGTGAGAGCTCATTGTCCTTTTCCTCCTCCTCCTTCCACTTATTCCAAAAGATCCAAAAAAACTTCTCCACCCAGCAGAGAGGCATTGGCTTAGCACGAAATAAGGACCTCTGCCTGAAATTAATGAAGACTCCTTTGTCCAAATTCCCTCTTTTGCAGAGTGGCTGTGAAGTTCAACTGGTGAGGTAAGGCTGTATTTCAAAGTAAAGTGATAATATCTAAAAATACTACATCATAGTTGGGTTAAGAGACAGATCAGCCAGTAAAGTGCTATCTACGAAGCCCGAGGACATAAGTTCTGATCCCGAGCGCCCAATACAAACCAGGTATAGGACAGTCACACCTCAGGGGTTTCCCAGCCAGCCAGTCCAGCTCCAGGTTCAGTGAGAGCCCTTGCATCAAAAACTAAATATAATAATTATAATAATAACAATGTGGAAGATCAATTGAAGAAGACAACCTCTAGGTTTTACACACCACACCCACACACACATATATGCACATGCATAAACACATACAAAGGATGAAAGCTATATTTCATTCTTCTAATGTGAGTTTCCCATAAACATATTTTTAATTTGGCCTTAAATAGCTTTTAGAAAGGAAAAATTGCCCAATTTTTATTAGAAATATATTTAAGAATACACAACTTTAGGAAAAGTATACCATTGTCATTTTCACATGTTCACACACACACACACACACACACACACACACACAAAGATGGTCTCTGCATAAAGCTAGCTCAAAACCAAGTGCATAAAAACCATAAGAGATGTGGGCTTAGCTCTGGATACTAGCTAGTGAGCTGTGAAGAACAGAGCCAACCATGCCCTGGGGGCCTGCCTCAGACACCACATTAATGATTCCTGCATACACAAATTCATTACTTGTTTAATTAAGTTAAATCAAGAATTGAATTTGTTTAATCATTAATTAAGAAACAAGTAGAGCTGTGCTGAAATTTAACACCTCAGGAAAAAAAAACAAGGAAAAAAATAATTATAACATTTTTGTACTCTATATCTATCTACCTATCCAATAATTTATGGCTCTGACCTCCCAAAACTACACACACACACACACACACACACACACACACACACGGGGTGGGGAAAAGATGGAAGACAGATGATAGATAGATAGATAGATAGATAGATAGATAGATAGATAGATAGAGATAGATGATAGATAGACATTCAAACTTGTTGCTATTTTTCAAATGAAAGAAAGTCATTTGTTTGCACATGAGAAATGAGTTTTGTTCATTCTAAAGGTAACATTTTCCGCCCTTTGAAAGAAAAATAGGACCAGGGAGGTGCTCCTTCAATACAGTGTTTCCTGTGCAATTAGGGGAACCTATGCATGGATCTCCAGAACATAGCCAGGGGACGAGATACACTGCTGTAACCCAGGGGTGTGGAGGCAGGAGAATCCCAGGAGTGTGCTGGATAGTCTAGCTGAAACTGTGAGCTCCAGGTTCAGTGAGAGGTTCCGTCAAAATAAAATGTGAGGATGAATGGAAGAAAGACACTCAAGGTCAATACTGGGTGTCCTCGTGCTTGCCAGCAGTTGTACGTGCACACACCTGTGCTAATAGTTAGGCACACCAGGCACACACACGCCATGAAGATAGAGACAGAAAGAAATAATGATGATCTTTATCCCCAAAGAGTTAATATTGAGAGAAGATATTAAATTTTAGTCCCAACTAGGTTCTCAAGAAAAGCACCAATCATGTCAGGTCCTTTGGTAGTGACGCTGAGAAAGTTTGTCCAGCCTTGCCTCTTACGCCAGTATTCAGAAGAAAACAGGGAGCTTCACTTATTCAATATCTGTGATGAAATTTTCTCTGAGAAACTACTGTCAAATGTGAAACATCCCCTCAAGCCCCGGGGCTCACAAGGAGGTAAGAATACAGTCATTTCCCCTGAAAATATAGGCAGTTCCCCCCAAATAAAATACTGGGCATGGCTTGAGTCTCCCTGAGCCCTGCAATGGGTTCGTGATTTGACATGCTTTATTAGTGCACTTGGGCACTGGATTCTGGCCGCTACTATTCATCAACTGTCTCTCTCCTTCACGGAGTCTTTTACAGGTGTTTCTCTCAGACTGGATGGGAATCCTGACGTGCTTGATTTGGGGTTTTCTATTATAGTGTGTGTGTGTGTGTGTGTGTGTGTGTGTGTGTGTGTGTGTGTGTGTTGGGCATGAGTTTCACTTGATGACATGATTCAAGAATGTGCAGCTGAGACTCCCTGCTTTGGCATAATTGTCCATATCCTGGACTGGTTGTCATAGCAACAAGCATCCAAATTATTGACCTGTTTTTTTTTTTTTTTTTTATTCTAGCTCTTCGGGGTAGGTGAAGAGAGGGAAACACTTCCTCCCAGTTGTTCCCAGCTAATGTGAATGAGTTTTCCTGGAAGTGGATTTTTAAAACTCCTCTCTTCCAAGCGATAGCCTGATGGGTTAGTCAGAACACATATTCACTCGAACTACATGGAACCCTATGAAGCAGTATATCCCACGCTTGGATAATACATGGAACTCCCCATATCTGTCATGGAAAGTTAAAATCTTTGTCAACTGAAGTAAATGTGAAAACTTAGTGTAAAAAGAAGTTGCAGATGAAAAAAGGACAGAATTTATTAAATGGGAACAGAATAGAGGCAGAGTAGATTCCTTTGAATGATCCAGAAAAATATGTACATTTTTAGTGCCATCCATAAAACACATGTGTATGTGATTATTTGTACAGTTAAATATATAAACCTCTTAATCAGTATCTAATTTTAATAACTACGATTTGGGTTTATTATTAAATCTCCTGTTCAGTATAATCTACAGATCTGCATGCATTTGTACGCTTGGTACAGCTATGAAGGAAACAGTCAACAGGCAGCTTCCCCTACAGAGAGGCAAAGAATGCTGGTGACTAGAACTCAAAGCCCAACAGCAAAGCCTTTAAAGAGAAGCACACAATGCAAGGAAAAGGACATAGTGGCTCACACCTACAATCTCAATACTCTAGAGGATAAGGCAGCCCAGACCACACAGTCAATTCTGGGCTAGCCTGGACTATAGAGTGAATACTGCCCTACCAACCCCCACAAAATAATCTACAAAATACTCCAAACGGGTCAGTCTCATAATTGGAGAGCTGAGGGGAGTGGTTTTGGATGAAGGCAGGAGGAAGGGCAAGGAGAAGTGGAGGCAGGAAGATCTGGAGTAGAGGGTCATCCTCAGCTACATAATGAGTTTGAGGCCAGCCTGGGCTATGTGAGACCCTGTGTATATATTAATATATGTGAAGTTTGACAATGAAGACGGTAATGGTGTTGATGGAAAATCCACAGGAAGATATCATTCAACCATTTCAAATGCTGGCCTACAGCATGGAATAAATTTTCAAATAATCTGATATTAGAGAATCTTCAATTAAGATGGTACATAGTGCAGATGTCAAAAGATCATATTCAAAACAGTGACAAGAAATTAAATGTAACAATAAGTGTTGCAGTACTCCCATTTCCGATGTCCTCTAGGAAGAGTATAGACAGGCATATTTATTTGGTTTTATCAATCCCAATGTCATATCAAATTATCCTTGTCTGTGGCCCCACTTAGCTTTCAACTTGACACATCCTAGAGTTATCTGAGAAGGGAGTCTTAGTTGAGTGGTGGCCCAGATTTTACTGGCATGTGGAGGTGTCTAAGGGAGATCCCCTTACTTGGTTACTGATGCAAGAGGACCAAGCCCATTGAGAGCAGTACCATCCTAAGCAGGTATTCCTGGGCTGGCTGAGCATGGACCTAGGCCTGTGAGTGAGGCAGCAAACAGTATTTCTCTGTGGTTTCTGCTTAGATATCTTGCTTGAGTTCCTGCCCTGACTGATTTCAATCATGGGCTGTAACCTGTAAGCTGAAATAAGCCTCTCCCTCCGTTGAGTTGCCTTTGGTCATGGTAACAACAGGAAATAACTAAAACATCCATTGTATAAATCATGTTGGCCTTGATTACATACAAGTGATAAGCATTCACCAAATCTTATAGTGAAACATGTTTTAAAGAGTATCTGTGTTTATGTTATATATA